CCTCCTGACCTCATGGTGTCAAGCTGCTACTTGGAGGGGACTGCTGCTGAGGTCACAGGCTAAAGCCACACCTGGCTGACCAGAGGAGGAATAGTTATTCCAAATGCCATACACCCATGGGAAAGGCAGGTAGGTCCCCAAAACAGAATGCCACATCTTGGACAATTCTGTGGCAGGCCTCTACGATATCCCCCAAATTCAATCTACCTCTTCTTCCATGGTGAAAGCCCTCAAATTTCAGCTGAAAATGCAGAACAAGGATCACATTTCCCAACTCCCTTGCAACTCAGCAAGTGACTAATTCTGTGCAATGAAAACAGAAAAGGAGCATATCAAGCTGTAGCTTCCAGAACCTTCCTTAAAAGATAACTAGGGCTTGCTCCCTTTTGCTTCCTCTTCATCCTCACGTCTAGATCTTGGACGTTATGGCTGGAGGTTTAGCCACCGTCGTGGTCCAGGAGGGCCAGACTATTGGAGAACAGTGAGCTGGAAGCATGTGGGTCCCCACTGTTGCACTCTAGTGCTGACAAGCTTCCCCTGGGCCTTCACGTAAGAGAGGAAGGAAGTGCTATCCCATTCAAGCCACTGTCTTTGAGGTCTCTACTGTTACAGCCACTTGCATGCTGACTGGGTGGCCGGAAGCTGGCAGATCTGAGGCAGAGGAAGGGCCCTGCTTCCCCTCCTGGCTTTGAGTTATAGGAAGAGCTCTGGGAATATGGAACTGGGATGGCACTGACCACAGGTCACATACAGGTGAGGCCAGGGATGAAGAAGGGGGACAGGGACATCTGCCTGCTATCCCTAGGGATCCTCCCCATGCGCCACGGCAGTCAGGGCCGCGGTCTCCTCCTTCCCAGAGCCGACAGGAGCCGACCAGCCCTGCAGCACCCACACTCTGTCTTCCCTACAGTCTGGATTCTCCAAAACAGGGAGTCACCACAGCCCGGGGTGCTGATGGCTTGGAAAGGCTCGCCACACCCCTCTCCCACACAAAAGGGGTGCCAATGGGTTGCTATAATTATCTGAGGGAACTTCAGGAGCGACTTGGCCACTTACAGCAGGCCTACAACAGCTGCATGCCTCCAAGAATAGCAGCAGCAAGCAGGGCCCAGGGGTGCTGGGGACACCTCTCCCAGGTACGCTCTGCACCTGCCAGGGGTGGGAGGGGATCTAGCAGAGACCCACGGAGAGTGCTGGTCCCCTGGTAAGCAGGAGGGAGCTCCAGGAAGGCCCTGCCTCTGGACGCCCTGCTGGAAGAACACAAGCCAGGTTCAGCATGCACGGTAAGGAAAATCCAGGGTGCAGCACGCAGCCCTGGCCCACGGGTCCTGCTGGACTAGCCTCCTGGGGACAACCGTCACAGCAGTCCATCTGGTGGCTCCTGAGCAGTGTCTGGGGTTAAGGGTTTTGAGTTCAGCAGGACAGCCTCTGTCTGGCGCTCTTCCCACCAGATGTCTGTCACCAGCCCCTGAAGTCTGAGGCTGGGTCTGGGCCACCATCAAATGTCCAGGATCCAGTCACCGCTCAACAGAACAAAGGAAACGGCCGTTAGAAGCTTCTCCAGCCATTTCTGCACTGAGGTGTCTAAGACCTCATCTCCTCACTCACCAGCTCAAGCGCCTGCAATGGCTGCCCAAGAATGAGGTCCCTCACTGTACCCTCTGGCCCAACCGTCAGTCTCCCTGTGCTCACCACACTGCCCAGCCTGAAGGCCCAAGTCGCCATGGCCCCCAGCCTTGCCCACCCAAGTCCCAGCTATCATCAGCACGTGGGGAGAAAGTTCCCCACAGGAACGGAGGCGCAACCCATCTGGATCTGAGTCGCCCGAGTCTCGCGTCACAGGTGGGGTTAAAAAAAGAGCACCTTCGCATGAGAGAACCGCAGACAGTTGGAGACATCGCAGTCTCACTTCCACCCCAGAGCAGACTCCCAGGACAGGGTCAGGTCTCCATCCATGAAAACAAGAACCTCACAGCCAGAGAGGAAGTTTCGAGCCCGAAGGCCACAGGCCTATCCTAACAATTGGCTTGAGGGGATCAGTCTTGGGGAGCCTTCTTGTTACGGGGGCCCTTGCTCAGCATCTGCCGGGTGACTAACTCACACAGAGGTGCAGCCAGCAGCCTGAGTGCTCACTTCCGACTCAGGTGGGGGCACAGGGCAGTGAGCAAAGCAGACCCTGGGACAGATGGGGTTACAAGAAGAGCAACCTCACCATGAGAGGAACTGCAGACAGAGGCTCCCAGGCCCCCGAGATGCCTGGAGAGTGCAGGGGACAGACTGCCATTCTGGGTCCCTGCTGGAGTGGCCACAGGCCCCAAGATTTTTTGGAGTCAGCTTTCCCATGGGACTCAGGGAAGGCCCGGGAGCAACCACCAAGCCCAGGGGAGGCAGCGTGCACCTTGGTCCTGGTCCACCTCCCTTGGCAATCCCACCGCCTGGGGTGGCTGCCCTCCGGACACATCCTGCGCAGACCTCTTCTGTCTCCGCCCCTTCACTGCAAGACGTTGCCACTTACATCCAGGCTCCACCCGGCAGCCATGAGCTTTCCAGAGCCCCAGCAGAACTGGAGTGACTCCTTACTGCTCAGGAGAGACCAAGTTCCAGAGCCCCGCAAGCAGGCTAGGGCTCCCTGCTGCCACCCGGTAGGTACCCTCTACTGTGTGCCGCAGCCGAGCCTCACCAGCAGGCTCTTGCTCCTTGACCACTGCACACGCGTGCGCCCCAGACCCCGGCTCGCCCTGCCCACCTCCGCCCCCCACCAGTCCTGCTTTTCAACTTATGAAAATCTGTCCTTGGCTGTGGGACACAACCCAGGGCCTGGGCCCTGCCACTACAGCAGAAGCAGAAACCAAAGCATCCCCAGGTGCCCCCATGGGCCACACAGCAAGAGAAGACTCCAGAGACACTGTCCCAGTTATCCTACCCTGGGACCTTAGGAGGAGCCACTTGTTATCCACGTTTTCCAGAACCCAGGTAGGGCCAGGTCAAGTGACTTGTCCAAGACACAGAGCCAGCTGAAGCCCAGACTGGGGCCCATCTTCAGTCTGTCTCTCTCCAAAGCCCGCGTTTTACTCTGAAAAAGTCCCTTGTGGCACTTTCTCTGAATTGTCCACTTCTACTGGGCCGTTCGTGGACATCAGAGATGGCTGCAGACCTGCCATCTGCCTCCTCCAGTTGGCCGTTTCATGTCAAATGCTCTTCTCTTGCCCCTTTACCCAGTGTCCAGTAAGCACGTCTTCGGGAAGAGGCCGATTCCAGAACCAATCCCCATCTTGGTTTCTATACCCACCAGGAAAGGGAAATAAACCACTCCAGGCCCAGGGAGCGAGGCTGCTGCCATGGTGCTGAGGCACCCTGCCCACGAGGGGGCCCCAGGGAGTCTCTGCAGGCTGCACACCAGGCTGTCAGTGTCAGGCGCCCAGGAACAGCCCCCAGACCCCTTCAAGGACATGGGGCTGGCACCCAGCCCTTTCCCAGAGCGTGTCCTTAGAGACCTGAGGATCACCATCTCTCAGGACCAGCACCCTCTGGCCTTGGATGGGAGGCAGGAGCTAGGAGCCTGGCTAGCTGCTGGCCCAGGCTGTGTGACGTCAGTGCACCTGCCAAGCTGCCAGACCCTGCGATGGCTTGTGCCCCTCCACTCCCACCAAAGGTTCATGGGATTGGAGGCTTGGTCCCCGGGTGGTGGTTCTGAGAGGGAGGATAACCTGTAGGGCGTAGGGCCTGCAGGAGGTCCTCAGGTCACTGGGGTGTGAGCCGGTTCTCCTGTCACCCCTGGGTAATTCTTGTGAGAGAGTTCTTATGAAAGGAGCAAACCTGACCCAAATCAGCTCTTTCTGCTCCTGGTTCAAGATGTTACCATCTGCTTGTTCCTGCCTGCTCCCACCATTGTTACCTACGATAAAGTGACAAAACCAAGTTCTGGCCCTTGCCAGAATCTGTAATATGCTGGTTGGACTTTTCAGCCTCCAAAACTATGAGCTAAATAAACTTCTTTACTTTTATAAAGGTAGCCTGTCTCAGGTATCTTGTTACAGTAACAAAAAGCTAACTTACATAGCCTCCATGACTTGTGTGAAATGGGCAGGACCACTGTGCCCACCAAAGAGCACTGAAAGAGACAACGAAAGGAGGCTGCCCAACCCAAGAGCACAGGGTGCATATCTAGCAAATGCCACCCCCATAGTTCTGTGACAGTCCCCTTGCAGACAGGCTGTCTCCAGCCCTGTGAACCAAACTGCGCCTGCTGGTCCCACCATAACGGGAAACAAGCAGGTCAGGGTTCAAGGAAGCCAAGGCGCAATGGAGGTCTGTGTGGCTGGGGACAGAAGGCCGCCTCTCCTGATGCCAGGATGAATCCTTACGTAGCCCCCAAGCCCAGGCAAAGCACTTCTCCTTAAAAATTAAACAACAGTCCCAGCAGGGACCAGAGCCCAGAAGAGAGAACTAGGAAGCTGTTATGAGCTCGATTCTCCAAAAAGTCTCCTGCATGCGGACACTCAGCTTTAAGAGGCTGTCTGGGCTTCCCTGGAGCTGCTCTGCTCCCTGAGGGGCGGGAATAGGGAGGGGGGCTCCTTGGGGACAAGAGCCTGCAGCTGGGGAAGCTCCACACCCAGGGGGCAGGCTCCCACCCGCCAGCAGAGTGCGCCCGTGAAGTGTGCCGCCTGCTGCCTGTCTGTGTGTGGTGATGAAGGCCCTTCATTTCTGTTGGAATCCTTGGTCGGGCTGCATAACTCCACTGGCCCTGGACTCCTACTCCCTGATCACAGCATGAAGTGAACCCCAAGGGTTCAGAACAGCAAACAGAAACCTCTCCCAAATAGCACCCCGAGTGAGAGCAGGGAGAGGAAGGACCTCCCCAGAATGACTGCGCCCAGGAACTCAACTGCTTCCTGCACCAAAGTGCTTAAAAAGACACAACCCCTTCCCCTCCCACGCAATGGCCACCTGTGACCACAAGGCAGGGCTGCGAGCCACGGATGCTGAGCACACGTCTGTACCTTTCATGTAGGCCTCAATCTTGCGGATAAGTTCATAGGACTTGGAGCGGTCAAGCAGGGTCCTGATGGCAGGGAGGGGGTCCAGGACAATGGTCTCAGGATGGGCATCAATGTATTCCTGGAAGGAAAGCAGATCCTGGTTAGAAAGCAGGCTGGGGCCACGGCAAGGAGACAGGCACAAATTCACCCATCCCTTTCTTGTCCCTCCCCCATCACATGACTCTGGTGTGACCAATCAGTGCATCCCAGCATGGGGCTACTGGCTCAGGAGAAGAGGGATGATCCTGAGCCTGTCCAATCAGGCAGGCTCAGGGGGTCATGCCGGGGAATGGTAGGATAAGAATATCCTCAGCTTTAGGAAGAAGGTGGACACATGGAGACTGGGCAGCTGTGAGCAATCACCATGGGAACTGAAGGCAAGGCCTGTTGAAGGCTTAAGCTCAGAAAATAGCTGAGGATTAGAAGAGCAACCAGGTCTGGTCAAGTTGTCTGACCCCTGGATAAAGCCTCACCTGAAGCCAGATCTGATCCCCGCGCTGATTTGCTCCACAGGAGAGCCAGCCCAGCACTGAGACGGGGGCCAGAGGGAAAGAGGAAGGATGCTGGGGGCATGAGAAACTGTGGGAAGGAGTGATGGACAGAAGTGTCCCAGATGGCTACTCAACACTCAGGAACGTCCCTTCAATACCTACTGCCTTTGTGGTGGCACTATGGAAACGCAAGAGTAACTGATAAAAGCCTGTTCCTCTCTGGCTCTTTAGACCCTTTGATTCTGAAGACAACATCATGGAATGCGGGAGAGAAGGCGAGGGTCTTGGAAAAGCCTGAGCCTGGCGGAAGTCCATTCCCGCTGTGGCGGGTTGAACGGTGCCCTAGGCACATGTTCTGCTCCTACCCCTCTTCGTCCTGTGCGTGGGGCTTTGTTTGGAAACAGTCTCCAGAAGTGATAGCTTCGGAAGTGCTTCCACTGCACATGGGTGGGCCTGATCGCCGACTTCCTTATAAATGAGACAGAGATCGGGACACAGAGAAAGGCCACACGAAGACACACAGCTGAAGGGCACATGTTAAGGAGAGCCCACAGCGAGGGGTGGACAGATGCCCCTCAGTGCCTCGGGAACAACAGCTACTAACACCTGGACCAGGCTTCAGGCTTCCCGAGCTGGAAGGCCCCTAGCTCACGGCACTCGGCTATACCACGCCAGCTCACTTTGTCCCCTGTGGCCCCTCCTCCCTCGGGGTTCTCCCCACTCAGCCAGCACACCACCTGGAGGGTCAGTGAGGTCAGCAGGGAGCACCACCCAAGTCTTCTTCACTGGTAAATCTTTATTTTTTCAAATATTTTTTTAGTTGTAGGTAGACACAATATCTTTATTTATTTTTTTTATGTGGTGCTGAGGATCGAACCCAGGGCCTCACACGTGCACAAGGCAAGCGCTCTACCACTGAGCCACAATCCCGGCCCTACTGGTAAATCTTACAAACAAAAAGCAAGATCCATTTGGGATTTTTTCCCCATGAACCCATTTCGGTTTCTAATAATCTTTTTGAGAGCACTTGACTCAAAAGCAGGTCCATACCAACTTCCTGAGTGTTCCACACCAGGGCGTGTGGTTTACAGGATCCTTTCTCTGGATGCCACAATCCCCTCGGGCCCTGGGTGGTGGCCAGGGCACTGCTGGGAGGCCTGGTGTTCCTGTCTCAGCTTACTCTTGGGTTCCTCTCGGCAAACCTGTGCTGTGGACCTACATGCAGGACACAAGCAGCCCCACTGCTTTCCCTCCTTGAAGACAAAACCGTCAGCAGGTCAAGTGGGCCAGCTGCTCAGGCCAAGTGGGCCAGGCAGCTTACGTGGGATGCCCAGGTCCCACCAACATGGGGTTCAGGGACAAGCTGAGCAGCGGCCTAAGGAGGCATTATCCAGAGCTACCCTCAAGCCTCCCTCCCGACAGCCTCCTCCTCACCCAAGAGCCTGCCGAGGAGCCCCCCCCTCTCCTCTGGGGCGTTTCCCGGCACCTACCCTCTGGGCACCATTCCTTCACCACTGTGCTCTTGCAAACCAGGTCTCGGCTTCCACCAGAGCTTGCCCCTCCCGAGACCCACCTCATGAGACCACAGCAACACACTAATGTGAAAAGGCTGCCCCTCAGCCAGCTGGCAGTGCCGGCTATGCTGGGCCTCACGCAGGCTGCAGCCTTCCACACTTGGTGCCCACTGCTCTGTGATCCTGGCCAACAAAGTCGTGCTCTGGGCCAGGGCCTGGAAGCACCCTCCCGCCCCCACTCCCCACGAGCCAGGCAGAGCCTATGCCATACGAAGAGCACATGGCCAGCAGCAAGAGACCCAGGCTCCCAGTGTCGTCCACCTCGGTGCATCTCTGGGCAGGTGCTGGGCTCCTCAGGGCCTCTATTTCCTCACAGTGACTTAAGAAGTTACTGAAGATGACCGCGGAGGTCCTCAAAAAGACAAAACTGGAGATGGGCAAGTCTCCCACTAGAGGAACTCCAGAAGCAAGGTCTGGGGTTCCTCTAGTTCCTCTGAGGCTGCGGGCTGCTCTGGAGTGGGAGAGACAGCCATTTGCGGGAGGCATGGCGGTGACAGCAGGGTTACACACATACTCTCTCCCCTCCTTCAGTATCAGATGCTCACTGTGCTGGGTCAGCCTGGTCCTCCCCCGGCAACCCAGGCTGCTAAGAACAACTGGCGTGCTCCCCCTCCCCCACAAAGAGCCCGAGAGGAGGATCCGCCAGTTGCTGAGAAACAGCGCTGACGCTGGTCCCACTTTATGCACCAGGGTGGTAACCTTTCAAGATTCAAGAGAACCCAGCACGTAAGTTTAAGACAACTCAGTGGGGAAAAGGGTCATGAGAAACCAGAGGGAAAAATGTCTGCCAAGCAAGTGCCCGTAAGCTCCGGAACTTGCACGAACGCATCAGGATGACAGTCGCTCCAGCACCGCCTCTCCCGGGAGGACACAGAGGGAGGACACAGAGCGGGCGAGGGGCTTTGTCACTAGCCTGCCAGCCACAAATGGAGTTTCTCCCAGGCTTTTCAGTTTATCTATTGTACTGAAGGCCTCATGCATTTTTCACAAGTCTCTTAGAATTACCAAACAAATTGCTGGAAGAAAAGGCCCAAACCGTCTCCATAGCAAACAGCAAACATGCTCCCCGAGGGCCAGAGCGGGCTCCTGGAAGCGGAAGTGCAGGGCCTCACACAGGCCGGCACAGTCTGGCCCGCGGCACCAGGAGGGGTGGTGAAGGGACTGCTGCAGGGATGAGGGGGCAGAGATGACCTGGTGCCCTCCCAGGCCCAAGCTCCCAGGGGCCTGCAAGACAATACCAACATGGGCACCAGGGCTCTGTGGGGCTAGAGGGGTCAAGCTTCTCCTCTGAGAATCTAAGCCAAATAAGGGCTGAGAGGAGCATCAGAGATACCCTTTCCTCTGTGGTCCTTGCAGGCAGGAAGTGAGGAAGGTGTGAGATGCAGGCTTTATTCTCATCTAGAAGATGCTGCCAGAAGTTCCACCTCTGCCACTGTCTGTCTGGGAACAAGATCCTGGAGTGAAGTCTCTGAGATGCCTTAGGTAAGCCTGAGTCTGAATAAAGCCATCGCGGGGAGTACTGTGGGTGTTGAGGATTCTCCAACGTGGAAGGAGTGGGTGGATATAGAGAAGGATTCTCGTGGTTCTGTAACACACAAATTCTTAGAGCCACACCTAAGGTCTTGGGCCAGCCCTGCCCTGCCCTGCCCAGCAGATGGAAGAGCAGGCCAGCTCTGACCTTGGGACAGGAAACCCGGCTGTCCTGGCCTGTGCTAACCTCTTGCTTATGCCTGGAGCACACACAATCCCAGACCCAAGAAGCCCAGCCTGTGCCCTCCAGGGACAGTGTGGCCAGGCAGAGGAGTCCACCAACCCACCATACCACCAAGTCTACCACACAGGCAGGAGGGGTCACCGGCTCCTCCCAGAGGCAGGAGAGGTCCTCACTGGGGGGGTTTGCCCTCTGGATTCTCAGGAGGGGCAGGGCGTAGAGGGAGAAGCAGGTGAGTGCAGAGGGAAGGAGCCTGAACCCAAGCTGGGGGATAAGACGCAGCGTGGCCCTAGAATAGCTTGCAGCTCGCTCTCTCCTCACCCACATGACTCCTTTCTAAAATGAAGTCTGCAAAAACTGGGCAAGGGGCAACTAGGTCCTCCCCTTCTCCTACCCCCCACCCCTGGTTGTGCCAGACTGGATGTGAACACCAGCACTATCTTTCTAGAAGGAACAGGAGGCAGCTGTTCAGATGGGAAGCACAAAAGAATAATAATCATGATAAAAATAATCATAACGATCACCAGGGACAACTTAAAAACAAACGAGCTGGCGCTTATGCTGGGCTTGCTATAGGCACCATGCTGGATGAAATGGTTTTTGAGCACCACTTCTTTTAATATAAAAAATTAATCCTAAGATTAAGAGTTAAAACTATAAAACTCTTAGAAGAAAACAATGGCAAAGATCTTTGGGACCTTGAAGTAAACAGGATTTTCTGAGCTATGATACTGAAATCACAAGCCAGAGAAGGAAAGGCTGGACAACTAGACACCACCAGAACAGAGACTTCCGTGAGTCAAAGGCCTGGCGTTGAGCAGCAGGACCTGTGTGCGGCCTTGCCTGGCAGAGATGCCCAGGCACTGACCCAGCCGGGTGCTGGGCACACCCTGAAGCCCCTACAGGTCTTGAAGCACCTCACAGGCTTGTGGGCCCCTCGACAGCACTGAGAGAGTGGCAGGGCTCTCCTATCTCCCTCAGGACCCTGAGAGCTGACAGGTTTTGGTCAGAGACAAGGTCCCAGCTGTGGTTCTGCTGGGCCCAAACTCCCGCTCCCCCTTACCAGTGGCCAGTTCCACCTTCCACTAATGACCCTGGAGCAGAAGGCCTGCCCACGGGGCTCGGGAGACCTCCATCCAGGGCTGGGAAGCTCTCATGTGGGGAAAGGGGCAGCTGGGAGGTAGGAAAGGGACCACCCCCTTCTCTCAGAGCGGGGCAGTGCTGCCAAGAGCAGACAGGCCAAGGAGCTGGGGCCACCAGGCCTCTCACCTTCCTCACATGCCATTCTGGGCCTCCCTAAGTT